AATGCCCACCTGAGAAAGGGGCTCACGGCTTTTCTGTCTCGAGGGGAAACATGAGCTTCCAGCAGCCACAGGACACCTGGGGAGCGGCTCTTTTTCTGGAGCTCGAAGCCTCCTTTGGAGAAAGGTCCGGCCTCCAGGGGGTGAGGACACCTCATCCAGGGCACGTGTGGTGCCTCCCGAGGGCTCCTCACCCTGCGTCACTCTGACTGTCCTCAGGCTGCCCTGCCCGTCGCTACCCTCCCACGCCCGGTGTCCACTACCCCCTTAGGGGGACGCTGTCCACGGCAGCCCCCAGCCCCCTATCCAGAGCTGCAGCAGGGCCCATGGGAGCCCCCACGGTGGAAGGCTCGTGTGTTCGTTCCACAAACACCTACGGAGCCCCTGCCTTCCGGGGGCCGTGGAGCCAGGTGCTGAGGACTTGCTTGGCCCCAGGCTCCTGCCTGGCAGGACACGCTCAGGGCCTCTGTTGTCCTGAGGGCTCTGGAGTAGCAGCAAAGCCTGGGGTCCTCCAGGTGGTGGCAGCCAATTGGATCCATCCACACATCCCTGAGTCCTCACCCTTCTCCTGTCCCAGGGCCGGCAGTGGCCACCTCACAGGGGCTTCACACCTCCTCGGGGTGGAGCCTCCCCAGCCCAGCCCAGTGATCTCAGCCAGAGGCAGAGCTGCAGCAAAGGAGGGGTCCACACAGCCCCTAGGGCTCCTCAGCCCGGCCACAGCAGGACGCCATGTCCCTGGGGCTTGAGGCATCTGCCAATGAGACTCCTCTTCCCTGGGGGCAGGTGGGCAGGGGGAGGGGGGAACGAGAGGCCAAGAAGACCAGGCCCACCTGGGGACACAGGAGAGGCCAGGCTTCCCCTCCACAGGGAGCAGGGGTGCAGGCAGGTGAGGGTTAAACCCACAGCTCGGGGGTGCCTCCCCCCACCCTTCGCTGGGACCCTGGAGGGACAGCTGGCCCACCACCGTCACCTGTCGGGGCTCAGGCAGCACAGCTGTGCGAACGACGCACGCCCAGGCCTCTGATCCAGGCTGCTCAGAACACAGGGCCCACACGTGCACCCAGCCCCCCGCTCTGGGCAACAGCAGAGGCCAGCCTGCAGGGCAGCACAGCTGGGACCGTGTCCCCCGGCATCCCCCTGACCCGAGTGCCCAGCGTCCCCCCAGTGTCCCCCCAACCCGAGTGCCCAGCGTCCCCCCAGTGTCCCCCCGACCCGAGCGCCCAGCGTCCCCCCAGTGTCCCCCCAACCCGAGTGCCCAGCGTCCCCCCAGTGTCCCCCTGACCCGAGCGCCCGGCGCCCCCCGGCGTCCCCCTGACCTGAGTGCCCAGGGTCTCCCAGGCATCCCCCCAACCCGTATCCCCCAGACCCAAGTGCCCAGCATCCCCCAGGGCATTCCCCCCAACCCCTGGTGCCCAGTTCACAGCACAGAGCATGCTGAGTCCATGGCCCCACAGGCGGCACCAAAAACCAGCCGGTCCACGTGCCCTGGCCACGTTCACTCAGCACAGGGCAGCGCGTGACCAGCACCCTCGGCCCTTTCTGGATACCATGATGGGGACCCCACCGCCAAGCAGCAGCCCCGGCCACTCAGCGGCAGTAAAGGAATGAGCCCGGCCACTCGGTTGCAGTGAGGGGACCAGCCCGGCCGCTCGGTGGCAGTAAAGGAATGAGCCCGGCCACTCGGTGGCAGTAAGGAAATGACCTGATGATGACGGTGAACACGCTGAGCTTTGTCCTCAGGCCTATGAGGTGGGAACCAGACACCGAGCACCTTGTGAATAACTTGCCAGCTTCGCTGACCTCCTCGTCCCACGACCCCCGAGCTGAGAATGAGCAAAACCCCCACGGGCTGGAGAGCCACCTTCTCCCACCTCCACAGGGTCTGCGGGTCCACACTGGGGGCAGGGGGGTACCCTTTCTCTGGTCGGGCCGTGCACACCCACACCTGGACAGGGTCAGAGCCACCCACAAACCCTGGCAGCAGAGGGGCCGACCCGGAGGCCTAGAGACCGTAATAAGTAGGAGAATGATGAACCCCGAAAAGAGACGTCCGTGTCCTCACCCCAGAACCTGTGATGTGACGTTATTTGGAAAAGGGTCTCTACAGACGTCAGTAGGTTGAGGGCTTTGAGAAGAGACTGTCCTGGAGTAGGGTGGGCCCTAAATCCAGTGGGAAGGGTCCTTCTAAGAGACAGGCGAGGAGAAAACACGGACAGAGGATGTGGTCAAGTGAAGTCAGAGGCAGAGACGAGCAATGCGGCCATAGGCCGAGGAACACCTGAAGCCACTGGGAGCTGGAAAGGGCAGGGGGACCCTCCCCTGGAGCCTCCAGTGGGAACACGGCTCTGCCCAAGCCTTGAGCTCAGACTTTCGGCCTCCAGGACAGTGGGGATGGGTTTCTGTTGCTTTAAGCTCCCCAGTTTGCTACAGCAGCCCAGTCGCCGTGCCCTCCTGACAGCCGTGTGGCTACTCTGGGACGGCTCCATCTTCCCAGGCCCCGTCTGGCTCCTCCCGTCAGCCTCGGGGCACAGCTGCCCCTCACAGCCTCAGTCAAATCTCATCTTTGGTCTAGGGGCTGTCCAAAACACAAAGTCAAAGGCACAAACAGCTCCCCTCTAGCCATGTAAATTTTATAACTTAGAAGAAATGGACCAATTCCTTGAAAACGACAACCAAAACTCACCCAAAATGTAACTGATACCAAAGAGCCCTTTGGCTATTAAAGAAATTGAATATGTAAAGATATGAAAAGGAAACGTCCGGCTGGGCGCGGTGGCTCACGCCTGTAATCCCAGCACTTTGGGAGGCTGAGACGGGCGGATCACGAGGTCAGGAGATGGAGACCATCCTGGCGAACATGGTGAAACCCCGTCTCTACTAAAATACAAAAAATTGGCCGGGCGAGGTGACAGGCGCCTGTAGTCCCAGCTACTCGGGAGGCTGAGGCAGGAGAATGGCGTAAACCCGGGAGGCGGAGCTTGCAGTGAGCTGAGATCCCGCCACTGCACTCCAGCCTGGGCGACAGAGCCAGACTCCGTCTCAAAAAAAAAAAAAAAAAAAAAGAAAGAAAGAAAAAAAGAAAACCTTCATATCACGCAGCTGCTGGGAGGTCCCCGTGTTGGCGCGATCCCTCCCCTGGACCCAGCCATGGCTCTGGCTGAGATGACCTGGGTGGTGCCCTCGGCTCAGGCACAGCTTGTGGAGGCTGCTTCTCAGGGAGAGGCGCCAGGGGCTGCTGTCCCCAACCCAGCCTCCCCGTGTGGCTGGCCCTGGGCTGTCCGGCTTGATGGCCCCCTCGCTGGGGCAGAACCTTCTCTAGCACGGAGCAGGTGCCTTTGTCCAGAGGCTCCCGGGCACGAGCCCCCTGCTCTCCCCGATCCCAGACGCAGACCCCAACCCAAGCCGTTCTTCCAGGAATAAAGGGGCAGCCACTGTGGACTAGAGGGATTTGTGAGCGAGACGGGCTGGACGTGTGACGGCGAGCGGGACACCCTGTCTCCCTACTTCCAGCCTCGTGCCTCGCACCCCCTCCCTCCCTTTGCCCCTCCTGGCCCACTCAGCCTCACCCAGCCCAGCCATTGTCCCAACGCTGCCCTTTCAGAGTAGGGAGTGATGTTCAGCCAGACCCCGGTTCCCCGCGCCCTGAGTCCCCCACAGCTCCTCACAGTCCCTGTTAACAAACGCGCTTGCAGGGGGCGGCCGTCCACACACAGAGCCCTCGCTGCCGTGATGGGGCCAGCCCAAGAAGCGGGGGCTGCAGCCGCTGCTGTCATGAGGGTGGCGGGAGATGCCAGCCCGGAGCCAAAGTGTCTGCAGCGGCTCATAAAGGGTGGTTCACGGGGGTGCCGCCCAGCACTGCAGTCCACCCGCTGAGCTCCTTTGTGATGGCCGTAAATTTTCACGAGCGCCGGAAGAGCTGAGGCCTCACCTTGCCAGGGAACAGACTCAGAACAAATGCTGGAGGTGACTTTCCTCCTGTTCTCGGAGCTGCCGTGAAAAGCCTCTGCCACAGGGTGGACGGGAGGGACGGGGCAGCGGATGGGCTGAGGACCCACAGGGTGGTCAGGGCCCGTCTGCCAGCACAGAAGATTGCTGCTGCTCAGACCACCTGGACAGAGACGGCGAGGACAGGGCACCAGCTGGGGGCAGAGGCCACTGTGACAGCCGTCCTGTCCCTTCCACACCAGTGCCCCGGCCACACCATCCTGCAGCCAGCCCTCCTGGCTCTGTCAGCTCAGCTCCTTTCAAAGCCCAAACATCCCACAGCTAAACCTGGAGGTGGGCACAGTGACTTACACCTGTTCTCCCAGCACTTTGGGAGGCTGGACCGGAAGGGATCACTTGAGCGCAGTGAGCCACGATCTTACCACTGCACTTCAGCCTGGACAGCAGAGCAAGACGCATCTCCAGGAAAAGAAAGAGGCAGGCAGGGCGCGGTGGCTCACGCCTGTAATCCCAGCACTTTGGGAGGCCGAGGCAGGCAGATCACGAGGTCAGGAGATCGAGACCATCCTGGCTAACACAGTGAAACCCCGTCTCTACTAAAAAATACAAAAAAAGTAGCCGGGCGAGGTGGCGGGCACCTGTAGTCCCAGCGACTCAGGAGGCTGAGGCAGGAGAATGGCGTGAACCTGGGAGGCGGAGCTTGCAGTGAGCTGAGATCCGGCCACTGCACTCCAGCCTGGGTGACAGAGCGAGACTCCGTCTCAAAAATAAAAAAAGAAAAAAGAGGCCAGCCACTGTGGTTCATGCCTTCACCCCACATCCTGACCACCCCACACCCTCCCCTGCCTCAAGCCCCTTCCCCACCTTATGCCCCATCCCCCTCATACCCCTCCCCCTCACGCCCCCACCTCGCGACCCCTCCTCCGCCTCACGCCCCCTCCCCATCTCACATCCCTCCCCGCCTCACACCCCCTCACCCCTCCCTCCCCCTCCCCCACCTCATGCCCCCTCTGGTCCCTTTGTCTCCTTTTTGTTCACTTTGAGTCTGGGAGACGCACCTGCCTGGCCGCTTCCTCTTCCTTTCTGGAACATTTGCTCCTGAAGCTGCTGGTGGCACAGGGCAGGGTGGGTGTCTCGCCAGGGAAGGAGCTGGGGCCAGAGAGCCCTGAGCAGGGCCGGGGCAGAGTCCACAGGCGGGCCCCGCCCATTGCTGGTTCATCCATTTGTTTCTGTGTTAATTTTGCTTTTTTTTTCCCTAAGAACTTAATAAATGCCCCCTGCCCCAGCCCTGCCCTGGCCTTAGAGATGGGTCTCAGAATCCCGGGGCCCGGCTGGCCTTACAGATGGGTCTCAGAATCCCGGGGCCCGGCTGGCCTTAGAGATGGGTCTCAGAATCCCGGGGCCCAGCTGGGAGGAGAGGCCCCGGTCCCTGCTTCTGCTCAGGGCACGCAGCCTGCTTTCAGGGCGGTGTGGCCTCGGGAAAGGGTCTGAGGGGCCGCCCTGCCCTTTTCTGTGAGTGCCACGGTGGCCAACTGCCAGGAAAGTAAACATCTCCCAGAGAGAGAAACCCACAGGGCGGAGGCTGCCAGGGTGGCCCAAGAGGTTCCCGACCGAGGGGCTGAAGGCAGCTCTCATCCAAGGAGAAGCCCTTCCAGGCACCTGCCGGTCAGAGCTGGGCCCTCACACCTGTTCCCAGCGGGCGAGTCCCCGTCCCCGCGTGCCCGGCAGCCTCTGTGACGTTCAGCAGGGCCACTGAGTGCTCCAGGCGCCTGGCTGGGCCAGAAGGCGAAGGACAGAGGGCTCAGCGGGGCGTTGCTGACACGTGATGACGGTGGGCAGAGCCCTCCCTTGAAACCAGCCCAGCCATGCCAAGTTCATCCACCGGTGGGACTAAACCCCTCCAAGGAGAGGGGACCCTTCGGGGACACAGGCTGGCGTTCTGGGGAGTGAGGCTCTGTGAGCCCTGCCCCAGGACCACCACACAGCCGGCCCACAGGCCCAGGCAGGGGCTGCAGCCACAGGGCTGTGCGGGGCCGGGAGCGCCTCCTCCTGGGACCCCTGCAGCCCCCGCCCCACGGTCCCAGGCTCAGGGGCCTCCTCCCGGATGTTTCTTCTGGAGCCCGACCCATAGGCTTTTCCTCACCGCCTTTGAGATAAAATCAGAAACAAATCTTTAAAGGCCATCTCCAAAAACCAGAGGCCGGAACGAAGTAAAAACAAAGCTCCCTGTCGGCAGCTTCCTGCTTATCTAAAAAACGCCCGCGTCAGCAGCCACCTTCCAGCCCAGCAGGGTCCCTGGGCCTCAGTCTCTGGCGGGGCCGGACCCAAGGCCATGTGAGCCACGCAGAAGGTGCCAGCCCTGGCATGCGTGCCACAGGAGGGGGATGGTGACCAGCCCTGTGGCTCAGTGTCAATGTCCACGTGTGTGGAGTCTCCTGCTCAAAGGCAAAATGCCCTTCAGTCCTACGAGGAGGCAGCAAGGTGGCTCAGCAGCGCCCCCCACCACTCAAATATCAAACAGCCGCCTTGTCTGGAATCAGGGTCCTTGCAGATGTCATTGAGATGCGGTCACACCGGATCAGGACGGACCCTAAATCCAAAGTCAGAAGACACGGTGCATGACGACGGAGGCAGAGGCTGGAGCGACGAGGCCACAGCTAAGGCACAGCCGAGCACCAGGGGCTGGAAGAGGCGGGAAGGCTGTCCCGTCCCCCGGGGACCCTCCATGGTGCAGGCCCTGCAGCCCCCCGGTCTCAGGCTCCCACAGCCTCGTTCCACAAGCCGGGCTGGGCTCCAGCGCGTCCAGGGCAGTTTCCCCTCCTCCCTGCGGTCAAGGCTCCAAGCCTGCCTCCTTCCCTCCTTCCCTCCTTCCCTCCTTCCCTCCTTCCCTGCCCAGAGCCCCACCTACCTCGGAAAGGAGGAGATGGTGTGAGACTGGCTCTGCCTACAAGCCCGGCCCGGGTGTTTTGAAACCAGAGGTCCATGAACGTTTTTAATCCGTAGGTGGACGGTACCAAACCCCAGTAAGGACCGTGCGTGGGCGCCCGGCATTCGATGGCAGAAGGAGATGCCGGCCAGGAAATGCAGTGAACCAAATGCCCTCCGCCCAAATCCACAACACCCACAATGCCCACACCACCACCCACAACACCCACAAGTCCCACAAAACCCACACCACCACCCACAACACCCACACCAGCCACAACACCCCACAACACCCACACCAGCCACAACACCCCACAACATTCACAATGCCCACAACACCCACAACACCCACAACGCCCACACCACCACCCACAATGCCCACAAAACCGCCCACACCACCACCCACAACACCACCCACACTGTCCACAACACCCACAAAACCCACACCACCACCAACACCCACACCAGCTGCAACACCCACGATGCCTACAATGCCCACAACACCCACAAAACCCACACCACCCACAACACCCACACCAGCCACAATACCCACAATGCCCACAATGCCCACACCACCACCCACACTGCCCACAACACCCACACCGTCCACAATGCCCACAACACCACCTCCCACAACACTCACAACACCCACACTGCCCACAACACCCACAACACCAACACTGCCCACAACACCCACAATGCCACCCACAACACCCACCCCAACACCCACAATGCCCACACCACCCACACCACCATCCACAACACCCACAACACCCCCAACATCCACAACATCCCCCCACAACACCCACACCACCACCCACTACAACCACAACGCCACCCACTACAACCACAACGCCACTTCTGGGTACACACCCAGGCACCACGAAAACCTCCGTCCAACAAGAGCTGGTGCATGGACAACCATGGCAAACAGCCCAGCTCAGCGTCCACCCACAGATGAGCCACGAAGTACAGGCAGGCCGGCCACGTACGGAGCGCCACTCAGCCATGAGAAGGAAGGAGGCACAAGCACACACCACACCGGGATGAAACCTGAGGCAGGAACCCGACTGACGAAGGCTGGGCACAGAGGGACACAGCGTCTGATGCCATTTCTACAAAACATCCAGAACAGGCCAAGCCAGAGAGACGTGGATGTTCCCAGGCCTGGGGAAGGAGTGGGGAGCCAGTGCTGATGGAGACGGGGTTGCCTTTTGGGGTGATGAGGACATTCAGGACCCGACAGAGGTGAGGGCCGCCCAAGTGTGCACTTTAAAATCAGTTAACACCAGCCGGGCGCGGTGGCTCACGCCTGTCATCCCAGTGCTGTGGGAGGCCGAGGCAGATGGATCACCTGAGGTCAGGAGTTCGAGACCAACCTGGCCAACGTGGCAAAACCCCATCTCTACTAAAAATACAAAAAACATTAGCCGGGCGAGGTGGCGGCACCTGTAATCCCAGCTACTCAGGAGGCTGAGGCAGGAGAATTGCATGAACCCAGGAGGCGGAGCTTGCAGTGAGCTGAGATCGGACCACTGCATTCCAGCCTGGGCGACAGAGCGAGACTCCCTCTCAAAAAAATAAATAAAATAAAATAAAATAAACTTGGCCCCATGGAAACCGTTTTTCTTTCCTAATGGTGGGGGGAGGAAGATTTTTCCATTCCCCGCCCTCCCACGTCACCCCACACAGAAGCGAGGCCCAGGGCCCCTCGACTCTCTCTGAGAGCACCTTGGAGAGACTCCAGGGAAGCCTGGCCGCCTCACACAGCAGCAGGAGGCACCTCCGTCCAGCACCAACGCAGACAGCACTGCCCACTCCACAGCCCACCCGCCCTCTTCTTCCCGGCCAACAGGACCCAGGCCTACCAGGATGCAGGCTGGGTGTGTGCCCGGTGTGGGGTGGGCATGTGGCCGGGTGTGTGCCCGGTGTGGGGTGGGCACGTGCCCGGTGTGGGGTGGGCACGTGGCCGGGTGTGTGCCCGGTGTGGGGTGGGCATGTGGCCGGGTGTATGCCCAGGTGTGGGGCAGCCTCATCCCAGGGCAGTGCCCGAGTGGGAATGGGCAAAGGAGGTACCAGGCTGGTAGTGGTGAGGGGACACAGGACACGGGAAGGACGTCTGTCCCGGCCGCCGTGGGTGGGGTGTGGGCCTCGGTGGGCAGTGGTGGTACAGGCAGGGCCGCGCCTCTTCACCCCGTCCTCACCCCAGCAGCCCCGGAGCAGCAAATGGACTCAGAGAGCTCCCAGGCAGGGGCCGCCAGCTGATGCGGGAGGAGGACGGAACTGTCACCCCGGCTGGGTGGGAACAGAGGGACAGGACCCCACCCACCATCAGAGGCCTGCTCGTCACAGGGTCCCATGGACCCCACCCGGAGAGCAAAGGACCTTCCCAGAGGGCACGGCGCTGCCACGGTGACAACCCCCAGCCTCCCAGGGCAGGGGCCTTCCCATTGTCGGCCCCCCAGAGGCTCCCGGTGCACTCCCCCCATTCCCCACTCCAGCTCACGGAGCCCCTGAGGGTAGAGTCCTGAGTGCCCCCAGGCCTCGGTCTTCCACCCAAAGTGGCTCCTGTGCTCCACATCGAACCTCCGCTCCCGAGGTGCCCTGCCCACACACCACCCTGCACCAGTGGGGTCAGAGCCTCCAGGAGACGAGGCCTCGGCCCAGCGTCCCTCCCGGCCTCCTGCCTCCAGCCTCAGGCCTGAAACACGAACCCTGGGTCTGTTTCATCACACAAGTCTCAGTGTTTGACTCTAGCTTCATAACGGCCCTGTTGTAGGCAGGTGTCTGCTTTTGAACAAACTGTTGGTTCACATCCCCAAGGCCTGAGTGCATCAATCTCGGCACATTTAATGCACCTGACTTCCAGCCTCTGGCAGGATTTCAGGATGTGCGAGTGACTCGTCTGACCTGGGTCCAGGCACGGTGGCCCCAGCCATACCCTGGGGGCTGAGAGTTCATTTCCTCCCACTAGGACTGGGCCAGACCCCTGCCTGGCTGCCCGCGCCCCAGGCCTGAGCTGGGCTGTTCCCCGGGCCTGGGATACCCTTCCAGGTCCTGTCCGCTGCAAGGTTCCTGGAGCACATTCTCCCAGGACACAGGGGCAAAGACGGAAACAGCAGGGTCCCCCCAGGACGCACATCTGGGCTCCAGTTGTCACGTGTGTGGCATGAGGGGAGGGGCGTGTTCCTGTGCATGACAGCGTGTGTCCATGTGTGTGCACATGTGTGTGGTGTCTGCACACGTGTGTGGGCACCGTGTGTCCGTGTGCATGTGTGTTGCATTGTCTGTACATGTGTGTGGGCACTGTGTCCGTGTGTGTGTGCGTGTGTGTGCATGTGCGTGTGTTGTGTGCATGCACCGCGGGTGTGCATGTTGTGTGTGTGCATTGCGTGCCATTGCGACCCTGGCATAAGGTGACATGTGCAGCTTCCAGAGCTACCCGTGGGCTCCAGCACAACCCAGGGAGCAGAGGCCAGCCCATTTCCATCCCGTGTCTTGGTTTCCTTGTTTGTGCAACGGGGACCCTCCCAGAACCCCCAGGGTGACTCCGGGGAGCGTAGTGACAACCAGCAGGTCTGTGAAATCCCTGGGCGCAGTGACTGGCACCTCCCGAGTGCAGCCCGAGGGCAGGGGTTTCCCCAGAGCCAGCTTTGCAACCACTGGGAGACCAACCTGCTCAGAAGACCACGGTGTGCCCAAGAATCAGGAGGCGAAACCCGTGAGACAGACGCCAGGAACTGAGCAGAGACGCCTGAGCAAACAGGCACGGTGCCAGGTCTGAGGCCTGGAGGCGACAGGGTCAGGCAGGTGGGGAGAAGTCGGCCTGAGAGCCACATCCTCAGCGTCTGTGAGCAGAGGCAGAGCCAGGGCCGGGTCTCCCAAACCACCTCACACACATGCACAGACACACGTGTACACACACACGTGTACACACACACGTGTACACACACACGTGTACACACACACGTGTACACAGACACATGTGTACATGCCACACACATACACATGTGTACACGCACAAACACACGTGTATACGCACAGACACACGTGTATACGCACACATGTACACAGACACAGGTGTACACGCACAGACACACGTGTACACACAGACACACGTGTACACAGACACACGTGTACACACAGAGACACACGTGTACACGCACAGACACGCAGAGACACCCGTGCGCACCCTCCCCTTCCCAACGGCGCAGCCGCTCCTCAGGGAACCTCCCTCCTCGGCCTGTTGAGTCTTGAAACAGCTTTTACATTTTTTAGTTTAGAACTCACGTATTTCTCCCACCCTCTTATT